GGCAGCAGAAAAAGTGAAAATGTAATTTTCGGACCAACAATGCTGGGCAACAGAAGACTTCTGTGTTTCCTTTTTTCAATTATATGCCTCATGTTCCTTAATGCGCAATTTTAAGGCTCTCTTAATTTGGCCAGTGTAAATTAAACCACACTGGCAAGGAATCCTGCAAATACACCAGTAATTCATATCCGGAATAGGGTCCTTGAGTATGGAATTTGGGATTTTATTGATGGAAGATAATTTACATTTGCCAAACTAAGAGAGCTTTAAAATTTCGCTTTAAGGAACATGAGGCATATGTTAGAAAAAAGGAAACACAGAAGTCTTCTGTTGCCCAACATTTTTGGTCCGAAAATCACACATTCAATTTTTCTGCTGCCAAAATTATTCAAAAAACATCTTCCATTAGTGAACTGGATTTTCTAGAGGCATTTCACATTCAAAAAAATCAATCTTTCTGTTCTAGTTAAAGCCCCTAATTCTAATCCATCTTTGCCTTCAGCCTTTAAAAATATTATATTTTAGTTCTGATTTCATCAACAGATGGCGCCAGTAACTTATCTCCTGTCCAGACTTTCTTATCTTATCTAATCATTATATCTTATTTCTTTCATTTGCGCTTTTGCAGCTGAGGATGATGGTTCGGTCAAACCATCGAAACTAGCCCTGTGAAAATTTAAAAATAGAACGCTGATTTTTGTTGCTTGACTTCAAAATTAATACTATATGTGCTTAAAGACCAAACTGTTCGAATCAAAAACAAAACCAGATATATCCTCCTACAATTATTTTCTGTTCCCAAAGGCGCCTCTCTGACGACAGCAAAGACATCCTTAAAATTGTAACATTGATTATTCCAGAAAACAGTGCCACTCCTAGACCATTGGCTGCCCCCCGTACTTTCCTAGAATTACCGCCCCTAGGCCACTGGCTACCCGCGTACTTTTCAAGAATTGCCGACCCTAGGCCACTGGCTGCCCGTGTACTTTCCTAAGATTGCCGCCCCCAAAATTAAAAAAAAATGCTCAAAGTCTAATAAAATTTTTATTTCATATTCACTAATGGTGTATTTAATTATGGCAAAGCACACTAGGGCTATCTGCCTAAGAGGAGGGATGCCTTCGTGGAGGACTTTCTAAGGGAAACTGGCTCGTATACACGTTACACATGGGGAAAACCACGAAAACGCCCATGCAGCCAGCCCGTTCGCGGGATTCGAACCTCGGACCGAACTACCAGTGTTCAGCGACTTTACCGCTCGGCCGCTGGTGGGCCCCATATTCACTAATGACAAATTGTATTAAAAGTACTTTCATATGACAAGTATTTACAATGAATTTAAAATACTTAGTTGTGGTATCGCAAGAGTCCGGCCGCTCTGATTTTCGCCGCCCGCGTACTTTTACGCGCTGCACCCCCGCTAAGAACGGACCTGCCAGACTGCATATAGGTATGCACAAATCGTTCCACGCATTGTTAGATTGTATAATTCGATGTATAGATGCAAAGGAGATATACTTTGAATGCAAAAAAGTCTTTATCATTTCTTTGTTTTACAAATTCAGTCTGATTATTTAATTGTCAGAGAGTATGCGTAGGGAGGACTAAACATGTAGAGTTTGTAAAGCCATGTTTACAGCGATTTAAAAGCGATATATAGAGAATTCCATTGCATTAACATGTGTAAATATTAAAGAAGATCTAGACTGATTAATTGACAATGAAGGAATAAATCAAAATCTCATAAAAATCAGCATTTTGTCTTCAAAATTTAACACTGTAATTAAAAATATTCAACTTTCGCCCACACACCATAGAAAATGGCCATAACTTTGCTTTTTTTTTTCCCTCCAAAAATCTGTGATTACTGTGAAACACCATCATCAGCTGACTAGATCAGTCTCCTTATATTTGCATAGAAGAAGAAAAAATTATATTACTGGTGATAATAAAATTTTAATGCCAAACCAGTTCATTAAATTTTCTCCAAACTGCTAAAAATATAACTTCACAATGTGTTTTCTCCGTAAGCAATCGAGAGGTCCGAAGTTCGAATCCCGCCGAGGAAACTTCATGTTTCTCTTATTTCCTGACTCCAAAAAATTTCAAAAGAGTCTATAAACGTATCTGTAACGATTACATAAAATAGAGTTTTAATTGTTTTCGTTGATTTCAAGCCTTATTTAAATCCTTGATCAAATTACATTATTCTACGAATCACTAATTAGTAAATATCAGCTATTGTGAATCATCAGAATTTCATAGAACAAAGTCTGAGAATCATTACAGATTAAATAACAATACTCCCTATTATTGCTTTAAGTCAGCACTTATCTTCTTTAATAAAGAAAATTAAATGAGAATTCAGAATTTTATCCGAAGAATGAAGACCGAATTTTACGGCATAAAAAATTATGTGATCATATGTTTGTATTATGATGAGCTTACTTCAATGTTCTTTTCTACTAAAACATGGATAAGGGAAATGTAATGAAAATTTTCTGAAATCTAAACCGTTAGCAGATGCATAACAAATTCTGGAAAAATTTATTTAAAAACATATGAAATTACAACATATGAAATGGAAAATACGCTTACAAAAGTATAAAACACATTATATTCTCTCTATTATTTTGTCTTGATATTATAGAGACAGAAATATCAAACGAAAATTTCTAAATACTTAAATATTTGAGGCAGATTTTAACAATAGATATTTAAACTGCTGATGAATATTAGACCAGGATTTTTATATTGCGGAATATGGTGTATATATATATATGGTAAACTTGGCAGATATGGACACATTTAAGCAAATGCTCATATTACACGTAATAGTTTTGAATTTGTGCATTCGTACCCCGGCGTTGGCAATGAAGTGTCATGGCGAGTATGTGATCAGTTTGTGTTGTGAGGTTCAAATAGAAGTGCAAACGGACCATTTCTAATGTAAGTACAACTACTTGATATTTCAAATTAGTGTTGCTGTTATATTTTAGTTATCTTATTTAAGCTTTAACACGCAACATTAATTCATTTTACATGAAACCTATAAATGGCTGCAATTTTATGTGAGTGTAATATCCGTTGGCAGTAGTAGGCGGTGTCGTTTTTTTCCCTTTGACAGCAGTAATGCCAACTATTGAATAATGTCACTAGAGCAAATATAGACAGTAAGATCACGGGTAATATGGGCAGTACCAAAATGTTATGATATTTTCTTTTCATGAAGCAATTATTATGATGAAAATCAAGGACAGGAATAGATGCAATGTTGTGGCTTTTGTTCATCCTGGTTCCATGAGGAATGTGTTGAGTTAGAGGGTGACTCGTCCTATTGTAATAAGTGTAGCGTATGATACAAGTACTAGTCCTCATTAAGAGTTGTTCTTCTTTAGATTTGTAATAATTTTGTTAATTTAATAGTTTATTTGATTTTCACTATTCAATTATTTTTAATTTATAGATAAAAACTTGGACCTTTTTTGTGATCCAATTTATTAATAACAAAAGTTTAATTTTACGTCTTATCATTTGCTAGACTTATAATTTGTGTAAAAATGCATTTCTGTTTGGAAATGGTAAATGTAGAGATGACAGTTTTTCTTACCTTAATAATAATGCAAGCTGCCCATATTTCCGACCAATTGTGCCCATATTACCTAAAGTGTTAGTCAAATATGGGTAACTTTTCTTCACAAATTATAAATTAACCCAGTTTCTTGCTGGACATGGGAATTTTAAAAGTTATTTGAACAGATTTAAGTTGAGTCCTGAGTCTGTCTGTGACTGTGGCCTCGGCGGCGAGGAGAATATTGAACATGTGCTTCTTCTATGTCCTAAATATGAGAGCGAAAGAAAACTCTTGAAACTGGGACTGAAAAATTTTAATATTAACTGGCCTCCAGAGTTTTACCAATTTAATTCCGAGAGAAGTGCTTTTAACACTTTTTGTCAATTCATTGTAAAACTGTGTAATCATTCTTAATTTTATTTCAATTTTCTCTTCTGTTTATTTTGTATTGTGTTTCATACTTACTTCTGTAAGCCCCATGCCATACTATGTGGTACATGGAGAACTTGTTGTGTTTCTTTTAATAAAAATAATAATAAAAAAAATATGGGTAACTGCAGAATTTGTTCAAGGAGCTTCTTAATACACATAGCAATAGTCAGAGGTTTATTCATATACCATTGGAAAGACTGTACTCTAAAGTTTGAAATATATTAATTTCAGAGAAATGGAAAGCGTTTTAGTGTAGTATATTTCCAAATAATATTTTCTTTTTATTTCAATTGAAATTTGTGGCCACAGTTCCCATGGTACTCTAATTGTGCCTATTTCAAAACATTTACTTTTGATATCTTTGCGGTAAAAGGAGAAGCAGTAACAGTCTACATTCGCCGAGGAGCAGAAGCAAAGTGCATAGTTATCCAGTATGGAGTTTATTAAGAGAAAAATTTCGGTTCTCGAAATATTGAGTCTTATCTGTTTTCGTGAAGTCCAGACTGCTGTTCTCTGCTTTTGTTCGTTTATTTATGCATGTAACTTTTAATGTTTTAGTTAACTTACTTCTGTAAGCCCCATGTTGTACATATGTAGTGCACGGGGAGTCTGTATGTTTTCAAATAAAAAAAAAAATTACGAATTAGCTACGTCATCATCGTTATGTAAAAGACACATGATAGGATTAATCTAGAAATGACGCAGTCCAGGAAAAAAAATTGTCATTTTTAGAATAGAGAGAGAAAGTACTCAAATTAAAATGAAGAATTAAAGGAGCTATTGATAATTTAGGCTATAATTTTGATTCACGTAATTTTTACATTATATATGTATATATTATTTGCAACAACATGTGATGAAATACTAAAATAACAAAAATGAGAAATTTAACCTAGAGTTTGCTTCCTTGCAGTTATATGAAATAGCTACATTTGGTATTCTTATTTTTTTAATATATAACTATATTATTAAGGTAAAAGAAGAGATAATTTACCTGTTGTTTAAGCCGACACAATTATATATATAAGGGCAATGGTGATCGAAATGTCGAACACAGCGATTACAAACTCGACAATGCTTAGCTCGCAATGGACGCACAGTTCTACACGTATGGCATAGCTGTGGCATGGGCAACTTGTTCTTTTGGAACTTGTCGAATTTCGCTAATTCACTTATGGTGCGATGATAGTCTTCGGTGTCCAGTGCTAAATAACCTGGATCAAGACTATGGGCTATAATAAGGCTGAGCCACATGACTGCATTTGTAAATAGGAAGACTAAATGAACACCTGTGTATTCATCCCATGTAAGAGGAACGCACTGAAAAATACAAAAACACATTACTTATTAGATGTAGAAAGTCTCATTTTATTATCTTAATATGATGCAGGAAATAAACAGCAATGAGTATTTTTTACACCTAATTGTAATAAAATACACAATTTTGTGCGTATAAATATTTCCAATAATTTAATTAATATCGAGGATTTTATGCGTCTATATATTGGACATGGACAAGTTAAGGACTCTATCTGTACATTCTAATGAAAGACTTGATTTATAGGCACTACCAAATCAATTAAATAAAATAACACTTTCATTGGAAATAATGGCAAGTTTGAAGAAACCATTTTGTAAAACTGTGTCAAACTTATTTACTTATGCTAAATATAAATTCACTTGTAAGGTTTCTGTCTGAATTATAAACGACATTTTCACTTTAAAATTAATCAACGATTAAGTTACAAATAGTTACAGAGATATATGTCAATAATAACAATAACAAAAACTTTTTAAAAATGTTTCATTGAGGTATTTACAAAGTGAAGCGCTGCTCTTCGCAGTAACTGACCAAATACAATAACTCAAACTAAACTAGCAATACGTAATATTAAAAAACCTTAACATAATAAATGAATTTAGAGAATTACTTCCATTTCTTTAACTTCAATAGATAATCAATTAATAAAGACTTCTCCTCGATAAATTTCGGGAAGCATTTATCAAGTAATTACTCTATACGGAGCACGGCACGATCTATTGACATCATGTTGATAATATTCAATTTTAAATGAACTTAGAGAATTACTTTCATTTCTTGAACTTAAATCAACAATTAGTTAATAAAGGCTTCATTCACAGCTCATAAAAAATTCTCGACAATCCTCGACGGCACGATCTATTGATATCATTTTAATAATATTCAGTTAATATCAATCCTACTCACCTATTGCCAATGCAGGCAATAAGTTAATTCACATAACTGCTTTTTCATATGCTTTAATTACAATATTTTCTATACTCGAATGTCATCTGTAACTGGAGAAATTTTGGTAAAGGTGAAACTAATATCAAATGTTAATTCAAGCAATAGAAACATTGCAATCCTTATACGTGGCTATATCATCAGACTGTAATGAGGCTGACTGCTTATAAAAGCACTTTCTATTGTCACAAACTCACTTATTGATGAAATAATAAATAAACAAAAAATTTACACTTCTAAAAATGATTTACAGTAAAGCATTTTGCATTTGATTTCATTTTAAAATTGCCTGATAATAAAATATTTACTAAAGAATTTGTGCCAAGTTTATAATTGAGTTTCGTTTTACGCGTTTTTGAGATTTTTTTCATACCGCTTTGTGAAAGTGTCTTGCACTATTTTGCGTATATCTACGCAAAATGTCTCAAAAACCAGGAGATCTAAGTCAGACGACATTTCCTTCTCTTTCACGTAGTTCTTATCAAGCATTCTGTGTGACTGACCAAAATTGAATAGTCTCAAGTCATTACAGAAAACTTCACTTTTTCAAACATTTATTTAAAGAAAGCAGCTCAAAATCTGTTAATTTCGTCTCATTTACCCTCAAATTTAAACCTTTGGAAATGTAGCAAAATAGAGACCTATTTTCTGATAATTCTCTAGCAATTTTTGCTATTAAAAGAAAGCAGACAACATTACAGAGCTTAGTATCTAAACGAAGAAGTTCTGAAACTGTTTACAATCAAATCTAGATAATTCGTCAATCTCAGGACTTATTATGGGGGATAACTTCTAAGGCAAAAAAAAATAAATTGATCTTAAGCATTTTCTCATTAAATTTAAAACTTAAATGTGATAAGAAAAGCATTCTATTCGTACACATTTTTTTTTTTTTTTTTTTTTTTTTTTGCTTTACCTTAAAATAACTGTTGATTCAACATCCGTTACACATGAAGTTAGTTTTTCCGTTTAATTTTGAACTGAATTTTGCCTTCAGATGCAAGAAAAATGTTTAAAGAAAATTCTAGTGTTTGTCTTGCTTTAGCAAACGAGGCTTTGTTAACAACTATTTTGCCTAAACATGTATTACTTCCGCTTTGCTTTTAATAGTTATGTTATAATCATTTACTCACTTGCAATTTTTGGATGATTTTTTATATTTACAAAAAAAGATTCTTCATACGATTGCATAAAACTTTAAAAGCTTAAAAAATGTAATTGAACCAAATCGTTCTTTTCAAATTTACAATTTAAACGAAGCGAAAAAAATTAATAAAATCTTTTTTATATTTTGCCATTCGCAAAGCCATCTCTATTTCTAAGCTGATTTGTAGTGCATAAAATTGTAATTAAAATAAGTAATTTTGGAGGTTAAAAGTTTCGCCGTTATATCTTTAATTCTGTAGTCTGGAGTAGTTTCTCAGTGCTCAGGAATTTTAGAGTGAGTCAGGAAGAGGAAATAGCTATGACAAAACATTTGGATTGGGACAGAAGGAGGTGAGAATCGCGTGGACAGCGTGCACCGGAGATTGTGTTTTCTGGTTGATATGTTGATACGTGAGTAGATTCCTTGCGTTCAGCCCGGTAAAAGGGCTCTTTTAGGTCAGTGAGATAAAGCCAAGAAGGGGCGCATGACTGTGCAGGATCAGGATGAGTATAAAATGAAGATAAGAACAAGGGTAATGCAGACCACAGCAAATGAGGGGTATGGAGTAGATAGAGATGGAGTGTGGGATAGAACAATGTGAGAGGGGCGTGAGCGTACAAATGTGAAGCAGAGCTGTGAAGCAGAGAGGTTATTAAACTCCCGCTATTTTTTATTACTCTGCCTAAGAAACCCAAATCCAAGTATATACACAACGAAACTCACTTATGTGAACGTGAATAATTAAATTAGGAATTAAAGTCGAAAATTATAAAGGTAGATCGGGCACGCTACAATGCCATAGGCCAAGGATTTCATCATACGCAAACTGGCTGTAACTATGCACCCAAGTGCGTCAGATGCGGAGAGGAACATTTGTCCTTTGAATTCTCTAATAAAAACTCTGACTTGCCACCACGTTGTGCGAACTGTAAACAACCTCCCACCTCGAACTTTAGGGGGTGCAAGATGTTCCCTAAAAAGAAACACGATAAACCAAAAGTGTATCCTAGTAGGGTTATAGAAAACAAAACATTAGCACAAGCACTGTCTACTGATTTGTACGCAGACAAGATCAAAGAAGCAAGAACTGTATTTGCACACCTGGCTGAACTCGTGTCGGTCATAAAGAGCTCTGGCTTTCTTTTAACTCAACAACTAGGACAAAATGTACCTATACAAAATGACAAAATTCCCATAAATCAGGATCTTAATGGATAAGTACACTTCAAAAGGAGATCCTATAAAATTAGCATTTTGGAATGCTTTTAACATTCAGAACAAATTGACGGAATTTTTAAACTTCCTTAACACTCATAATATTGACATAGCCCTTGTCACAGAGACCTTTGCCACGCCATGCGTGCGTATTAATTTGCCTAATTACCGCACATATAGGTGCGATCTGTCTGAGTCACCGGGTGGGGGGCGCAACTCACTCCAGTCCTGTTTGATAAGCCAAGATAGAAACGATGGGCATGAGATGGTCACAGTCTCAGTGCAGTTACCGCAATATGGAAATTTGAATTTCATTTTATTCTATAATCCGCCCCATGTGCAGCTGACGGAAAATATTCTCTCCGGAAGTCTTATCTGACAATAATAAGTATATTCTTACTGGAGATCTTAACGCAAAGCACTCGGAATGGGGCTGCCGCAAGACGAACAGAAATGGAAAAGTGCTCTATGAGTTTCTTAATAATTACCCAGTTGCTCTGCAAGTTACTGAGGAGTATACGTACAGACCCCAGAACCCTAGAAACGCAGACATTCTTGATATTCTTCTGACAAATACTTCGATCCCTATTTACACTGAAGTAAAGCATGAATTAAATTTTGACCATATATCGGTCACTGCAATTTTAGGTACTACTAAGGAGGTCGAAACTGAGATGATTCGCACGACAGACTGGACCAAATTCCAGGAGTTTCTCGGTCAGAATCCGCCCAACTTTGATACTCTGGGTTCGCGGGAGGACATAGATGATGCAATTGATATCCTCACTGAGTCGATCAACAATGCTATAGAAAATGCGTCTAGGCATGTGAGGAGAAATAACAACACAGGCATTCTGCCTTAAGAAAGTAAGGAGATGATAAAAGATAGAAATAGGATGAGAAAGATATGGCATCTTACATGGAGTCCGCATGTAAAAAGAGATATGAACAAATTAAATAAATTAATTCAAAAGAAAATTAATGCACATAAGAGAGAAGTTTGTGAGGACAAAATTCAGAATCTTAGTTCGAATGATGGCACACTCTGGACTTTCATGCGAAACTTGAAAAGGCAGCGTACATGCAATAAATCGATTTACACAGAAAATTCTGTTGCTCTCAATAATAAAGATAAATCGACGGTTCTCGCAGACCATATAGAAGAACAGTTTAGACCTAATGTGACACCCAGGGACATTAATTTCGTCTATGAGAGGCTTGCTACTTTGTCAGAGATGGCTAAACGCCCACACAGCAAGGAGATACATGGCCACTGCTACTTCTAGTGAGATTAGAGAGATCACTAAGAAGCTTAAAGTCAAAAAAGCTTCAGGCATTGATGGAATTAACAATACCGCTCTTAGAAATCTGCCGTGCAATGTTGTGACAAAATTATCACTGCGTGTCTCAGTCAAAGCTATTTTTTCACAAAGTGAAAAATTGCAAAGGTCACTTTACTGCTTAAGCCCGGGAAGGATAACACTAAGCCAGATGGGTACAGGCCCATTAGCTTGCTTTCGGGCCTAGGAAAGATTTTCGAAAGAGTAATCTACAGTAGATTGAAGAATTATATTGAATTACTGCCTCAGGAGCAATTTGGTTTTCGGAGAAAGCTATCCACAACGAAGCAGCTGGTCCGGCTCGTCGAGTTTTGTGGGGATGCGCTCCACAAAAAGCAAAATGTCGCCTTAC